ATCTAATAGGTCAAAGAAGCACCTGGAATATATTGCTCTGTACTAATTCCCCTTTAACACTCCAATTTATTTAGATTGCACCTTTAATGCTCTGGGTTTCTCTTGTTCCCCGTGACCATGCTGACTCATTCCAACTAACCAAGGGTGTGATTTTTTTCCCTCAAATCTCCATATGGCTTAAAGAGCAACCTGTCAGATATCACCTATGATGGTTTGAAGCAAGTCTCAGTCTTTAAGGCCCTGAAGGTAATGTGGGAAGAATGGTCTGCATGTTGAGATTACACCCTGTCACTGCACTGCTGGCTCACAACTGTGCCACCCACTGTGGAGTGATTGTGATGATTGTTAAGGTGCATTAAAAGTGAAACTGTGCATGACAGTGCTATTGCCTGTTAATGCTTTTCCCTGTGGCTTCCTTAATGTTAAATCTGATTTCACATTTCCCAACTCTCATCTTGCATGTGAATGTTTTATGAATTTTTTTTTTTTTTTTTTGAGAAAACCCCTATTGTTTTTTTTTTTTTTTTGTACTTCTTTGCCTCTCTAAGTCCAAAACTCTTGTACTTTTCTGTTAGCTTGAGCTTTAAGTCTCATTAAACCTGCAGAACAAGCAGACAACAGAGCAGCATAAATGCTTGTTTGTTTGCCAATGAGGTAACTGATAACATTGCAATCTGTATTGGAAATGAGATTGTCAAGCCTGTTGGTTGGCATTTTGTAGTTTTCCTACTTGGTGATGTAATTTTCCTTTGGAAATCTGTGTGACCTGTTATTTACCAGTCATTTGATTTGGAAAGAGGCCTGTTTGATGACACGCTCACAAAGCTATGACCCACCACCTCCGGAAACAGGTAGAAAGACTTAACATGTATTGAAAACACACAAAAAAAAAACGTGTTCAATTTCCTTACTCAGAAATCAACTATTGCACATTTTTAATACTGCTTCTTTATTATCTCCAAGAAGTTTTGAGTCTATAATTATTCCTCAAATGGTTGCACCCATCAACCTTTGATTGTGCCAGAGGTAAGAAGGTATAAAAATCATCATTAAGGCTTGGCTTTGAAGGAGCAAAAAGTCACTATTTTAGATAAGGAGAACTTAATAATAGAAATGTGAAAAACTGAGAGTATCTTTTTAGATGAAATATGTGACATCACTCACCATTCTTCTGTTTTGTTAGCTGAGAGTCTGTGTGCTTCAATCCATGCTGCCACCCAGGGCTTAGACCCCCCCTGCCCAGAGAGAGCAGCGTAAAATAGAAGCAATATGGCAGAGAGCGCCTCCAGTGGATTGCAAATTTCACCTGAAGACGATAATGTGACAAAATCAAGTTCTCTCGCAAACAACATTATAAAGTTATGAATTTCTTAGTCAATAGAAATGTTCCTCCCAAAGGCTGAGAGAAATATGCATCTGTGTCGTATCATATTTTTCTGCCAGTAACACAGGATGTCACTAATTATACCCTCTGGTCACCTTCAAATTGTAGGTTTGACTTAATTCACATCATTGTGAGAGGTGACAATATATCAGAGAGTGCAGTATATCATTGGTCCTTCTATTGTGAGAATATTCCATCTTGACATCCCTGCTAGTTTAAATTGTAAAATAATTTAATGTCTATATTTATTTCTATATTTTCCCTTTAATCCAGGAAAAATTTAAAAACTAGAGAATTGTAGTCAGATCATTTTTTACTGCTACAGAAACCATTGAATATAAACCACATTGATGGATCTTACATCAGATTGCGTTTGATATTATTTTGTTTACCCCTGCATAGTAAAATGTTTCTTTGATGAGCATGGACATGAATGATGAAACCTAATGTTATGCAAGTGAGAAATGAAAGACTTCCTCTATTTATGTTTCATCAGAGCTTTTATAATAATAACGCTATTATTCTCATTTAAGGAATACTGATTCATTCCCAGGTATCCAAAGTCATCATGCTAAATTAACCTGTAGATGAGACAAAGGCCTCTCAGTGTCCTGTCTGCCTGCAGCCCTACCAGGCTGATCATCTTTCCTCCTGTTTGAACTGCAGACTCCCTCTGGGTGGTGTGCTAATCGTGTTCTCCAACATGTACTGTGATTGTGCTTCCCGTCACTGAATTGTGTTTCACTGTGTTGGCAGTTACTTAACGCCTCTCTTTCTCTTTCTGGTTGTCCAATAGTCAGCCAAGAAAAACAGCAGTGAACCCAGTCCTTATGTTCAGTTCACAGTTGGACATAAAACTCTGGAGAGTAAGGTGAGTATTAAAATAAAAACAAGCCATAATAATAAAATGATGGAATTCATACATTTTTTAGAACTCTACTGCTATTTTACCGATTTGTCTTTAAAAGTTTGACTAGACCAACAGACAGGCAAATATATTTTTCCTAAACCAGCAAATAGTTATACATTTGATCTTATGACTGATATATTTCTTGCCAGCTCACTCTGACAATTTTACCTGGTTTTGCCAAGAGGAAGAAGTATACTTGTCACATTTCCTGCAATGTGCTATATTTAGTTATACGTTATTTATTCAATATTGATGTGATTCAAGGACTGAAACACTTACAGATCCTCTGTAATTTATTAAAAACCCTTTCTACTGAAGGACAAGCCACTCCTTTTCATAAAACTTAGAAGGAATCCGAGCAAAATGAATAAATGCATTTAAAACTCTTAAGGTTGGTGGAATAAGAGGAAAAGTGTTCAATTATGACACAGTTAATGGTGCTGCAGTAATGGCATGGTTTATGGTTGGTTACACAATTGAAGCGAAGTCTTACATCAACAAATATGACAGCAAGAAGGTTCCTGGTTCGATTCCCAGCCCGGGGTCTTTCTGCATTGAGTTTGCATGTTCTTCCTGAGTATGCATGGGTTCTCTTCGGATACTCTGGTTTCCTCCAACAGTCCAAAAACATGACTGTTAGGTTCACATGCTTCTCTAAAATTGTCCTTAGGTGTGAATGTGTGTGTGCATGGTTGTTTGTCTCTGTTTTGCCCTGCGATAGACTTGTGACTTGTCCAGGGTGTACCCTGTCTCTCGCCCTTAGACAGCTGGAGATAGGCACCAGCACCCCTCGTGATCCTAACGGCCTGCTTCTTTACAGTTTGCATCCTTCTCTTGAATTGTCCCTACCTGTTAAAAGCTATGCTGATGTAGCCTCTCCTTTCCTCCTGGTTATCACTTTTCAATTTTTTGGTTATTTTCCTGATCTTATTGAAATGCAGTGCTTACCTGCACTTTCAAAGAATGAAATAGTCCAGAGAGCTGTACTTAACTAAATTTCTTTTTGTTTACACATGTGTGTACAAAATTTATCTGTATGCAGGAAGATTCAGCAGAAATAACAGGGTGATGGCCTGCGTTTTTGGTTGGTCCTAAATAGTTGAAATGGGAGTCGTACAAGATGGAGTCCTGTGTGTTTGTGAACCCATGATCTCTATTTATTCACTGGATTGCTGATAGTCCGTTGGTAGTACAGGGTGCAGTAAATCACCAGCCGCCATATTGCTACTCCCAATTTAGACTGGTCAGAATGTAAACAATAGGTGCACTAAAGTATCAAACAATGATGGCGTTCTCATTTTCAGCGGGGGTTAGGACTTTTAAAATAAAGATAAAGTTATCACTCTGACACACACTTGCTGCCTCATAGCATCTGTAGACTATTGTAGTTTATGGTAAAAAAAAAATAGGCACATCATATTGCATATACAGGATGAAGTCAGTGAAGTCTATAAATCATGTAACAACATTAAACAAATCCATCACAACAGAATTAGTGCATTAATTGAGCATAATTATACTGTAGTCAGATTGTAAGAATATTAAATATGCACACCCCCACAACCACTATCTGATGATTTGCCAAAAGTGCTAAACTGGTGATGTAAATGTAATATACCTGCATTGTTTACATTTTTAGGGTAATTACATTACATGCATTACAGGCATTTTTATGGTGATTCAATGGAGTACCAAGTTGGTACAGGTGACTTGAATTTTTTTCGGTCTAACAGCAATCCAGTGAATAAATAAAGAGCAGTGTTGTGAACCTTGAGACCCCATCTAGCAGGTGGGATTATGTTGGGAATGAATTAAAGTTAAGCCTGAAAATAAACAGAAATTCAACTATTTGAAATGATCATTCTGTGAACAATGAGTAAATTACAGCATAGGGCTTTGAATCCTGAGTTTGTGATTTCGATCCCCCACTCCCACATTCTGGGTCCCTGAGCAAGACCCTTAACCCCACCTTTCTCCCTGGGCGCTGCACAATGGCCACCCACTGCTCCCCAAGGGGATGGGTTAAATGCAGAGAAGTAATTTCCCTCTGTGATTATTAGAGTATATAAAATAAAATAAAAAATAAAAATTGTTATTTAATTCCAATTACTGAAAAAAGAGCTTTTTGATGATAACCCTTATTAAAT